CGTTATGTACCCAATTTCGCGCGAAAGGCTAAACCATTATACGACCTTGTTACACAAGCAGCAATAACAGACCCGTGCCATGATCAAGAGAAAGGTAACAAAAACACCAGAAAGAAAGGTCAAGTGCCATCGTCATTCAAAATCGCGTGGACTGAGATACATCAGACTGTGTTAGAGAAACTCATTGATCATCTGATAACACCTCCGGTTATGGCATATCCAGATTATCAAAAACCCTACATCGTGCACACTGATGCCTCGAAAGACGGTCTAGGTGCTGTCTTATACCAGGAACAGGAAGAGACAATGCGAGTCATTGCGTACGCCTCTCGGAGTCTGACGAATGCAGAAAAGAACTATCACCTCCACGCAGGAAAATTAGAATTTCTGGCACTCAAATGGGCAATCACCGACCACTTCCGTGATTATTTATATTACGCGCCTGAATTTACGGTTTATACCGATAACAATCCATTAACATACGTTTTAACATCTGCACGACTTAATGCCACAGGCTTAAGATGGATTGGAGAACTGGCCGACTTTAAGTTCAACATCCGTTATCGTCCAGGAAAACTCAATGGAGACGCCGATGCATTGTCCAGAATGCCTATGAATATTGACGATTATATGAAAACATGCAGTGAAGAGGTTAATCGCGACGCTTTCCAAGCGACTGTTTGTGGAGCAAAAGTACAGGTCGAACAGTTTCAAACACCTTTGCTCTTTCCTCCTGAGATTACTCGAGCGGATGTTAGTTTAAACCAAGCATCTATAAATTTGAAGACAGCACAGAATGACGACGCAGATATTGACCGCGTCATAACACTTAAAATAGCGAACACGTATTTGTCTCCTCATGAAAGAAAGCAGGAAAGCCACACTGTACAGCAGCTGTTAAGAGAATGGAATAAGTTAAAAGTGGGGACTGATGGAGTTCTGTACCGACTAGCAGGAACAGTCCGTCAAGTTGTACTACCTGGACGTCTACGTCAACAAGTTTATAAAGAGTTGCATGAAGAAATGGGTCATTTGGGTTCTGAACGCGTCATTGACTTGGCTCGAGAACGATTTTTTTGGCCTCACATGAAACAAGATATAACTCACTACGTCACGAAAGTTTGTCATTGCTTAAAGAGTCGGAAACCCGTAAGAAACCAACGTGAACCATTACATCCAATCGTAACCACCGCACCCTTCCAAATGGTCTCTATCGACTACCTTCACCTCGAAACAAGCGTAGGAGGCTATCAATACATCCTGGTTGTTATGGACCACTTTACGAGGTATGCTCAAGCTTACGCGACTCGTGACAAATCAGCCAAGACCGCTGCAGACAAACTCTATAACGACTTTATCTTGCGCTATGGCTTCCCTGAGAGGATACACCACGACCAAGGTGCTGAGTTCGAGAATAAACTTTTCTTTAACCTGGAAAAAGTAAGCGGAATTAAACACTCTCGGACAACCCCTTATCACCCCGAAGGTAATGGGCAAGTTGAACGATTTAATAGAACGCTCTTGTCAATGCTTCGGTCCTTGCCAGAAAAATACAAAAGTCGTTGGCGTGATCATCTCCAGAAAGTCGTACATGCATTCAATTGTACCAGAAATGACGCGACAGGATACTCCCCATTCCTCCTACTCTTTGGCAGACCCCCGCGATTGCCAATTGACCTTATGTATGGTCTGAAACCCCCACCTGGCCATAGCACTTATCCTGAATATGTCAAGAAATGGCGAGAATCGATGTCCGAAGCATACCAACTTGCATCTGAAAAGGCAGAAAAGAACGCTACGAGTGGGAAAGTGCAATATGACAAGAAAGCTAAGAGTACGAGTCTACAACCCGGTGATCGTGTGTTAATACGAAATGTGAAAGAAAGGGGTGGTCCCGGCAAGTTACGGTCGTATTGGGAAGACAAAGTTTACAAAATCGTGCGTCAGAAATCAAATGAGATTCCCGTGTATGAAGTCATTCCTGAGAGTGGCGGGGAGAAGACAAGAGTACTGCATAGGAACATGCTATTTCCATGTACGTATCTTCCTGTGGAGAATCCTATTGTGAAACCAGCTCAGTTAAAAAAGAAAAAGAAGAGTGAGAAGGAGAAACAGGTCACACAAGATTATCTGACAGATAGTGAAGACGAGTTCGAGATTGCTACGTTTGCACCTGAATTAACGCGGACAGACCCAGAGGATGAATTCGTGCCAGTGTCGGTTGAAAATGAAGCCCAGCAGAGTGTTGAGGAAGCTGTACAAGAAGGTGCCACACCAGAAGAACCAGCTCAAGAGAGTCAAGCGGCGACTGGTACCACGGTAGCAGCGGAGGCTGAGACACAAGTTGATTCACACCCAGTTAGTTCACAACGAGTACGACGACCACCAACCAGACTGGGATATGGCAATTTGGGCCAACCAACGGAACATTGGACCAGTATTAACGCGGTCCATGCACCTGCCACAAACAACATGTATCTACACCAATACCCTGTGCTCCCGACACCTCCAATACCGTTCTTTCCCCCAATACTTCCTATGTCATTACCTGTATTTCCATTATATTGGTCAAGTTGGCAAGGACCAATTATGCCATCAAACATATGGTGTTAGACACTGATATCAAGAGTCACGAAATCAGAAAACGAAAATTGTTGAAATTGCCATCATGTTGCGAATAATGACTGTTAGAAAACAGAAACAATAAAACTTTACAAGAGTTAAATTTCCAGGAAAAGTTCCTGACCAACAAGAAGTGAAAGCGGGGCCCGAAAAGATAAAGAAACACTTAGTTTAGATTACTGTCTACGTTCAATATTTGTGAGTCTGATCAACCCACACAGTTGACCAAGAAGTAGCCAAGATGAGTACAGACTATAGCGTTAAATGTTGGGCTATATAAAGATAATAAGGACAGCTTAAATTATAGGAGGGGTGAGTGTAGGATGCCCATTAGCAATACGTCATGTAACATTAGTTAAATAGGAACTATTGCATCATGCAGTTGTGACAGTTACCATAGTAACGAGAAAGGACAGACAAACAGATTTTCCAAGATGGCGATTAGTCAACCACGTTGTTATTAATGTTCGCATTGTTTTACGAAATAAATTGTGCTTTCTACTGTTTTAATACGTGAATTATGGGATAGATCGAGAATTTAGTGAGCGGGCAACACATGCATGTGGGAAAATTGGTCATAAATCCAGGGCTTGTAGAAACAAAGCAAAAGGGAACCAAAAACCTAAAGGAAAACCAACCCATCACCTTTAAGAACAGGGACAGGGAAGTTCGAGCGAAGACAGCCCTAATGAAGAAAGTGCCCCACCAGCATATTCTATGTTTACATTTGGTCATAAAAGCACCACCCCATACAAAGTAAACATATCTATCAACCTGACATCCATAGATATGGAAATTGACACTGGTGCTTCATTGTCTGTTATTAGTGAAGCAACCTATGTAGACTTGCACAGTGAAGGGAAAGTCCCACCCCTAGGAAATACGGATGTGATTCTCCGTACATACATTGGGGAGGAAGTGAAGCTAAAATGGTCCCTAGAGGTAACAGCATCTTACGATGGGAAAGAATTCAAGTTAACTTTACTCGTAGTGGAAGGGAAGGGTCCAGTCCTTCTGGGGAGAAATTGGCTGGAGAAAATACGCCTGAAATGACCTATGATTAAAAAGTTAACACCGATAAATCAGCAGTTAGATGCAGGGTACTCACACCTGTTTGAAGAAGGTCTGGGAACCCTTAAAGGAGCCACAGCTAAGATTCATGTGAACCCATTGGCCACACCTGTATTTCTTAAAGCCAGACCGGTACCCTATGCGTTGCGAGAAAAGATTGAACAAGATCTCGAACGGTTAGAAAAAGCAGGGACAGTTGAACCAGTCCAATTTTCTGAATGGGCTACCCCAATAGTTCCAGTCATTAAGCAAGATGGGACGGTGAGAGTTTGTGGGGATTATAAACTCACAGTCAATAAGGTTTCAAAATTAGATGCATACTCAATCCCCAAACTCGATGACCTTTATACAAAGCTTGCTGGGAGTAAGACCTTTACTGAATTAGATTTAAGTCATGCATACGAACAGATGCTAGTAGATGAGAATTCCAAGGAATTTTTAATCATCAACACCCACAAAGGTCTTTTCAGGTACAATCGCCTCCCTTATGGTGTGGCATCAGCACTCGGTATTTTTCAAAAAATGATGGAGGGACTTCTCCATGGTATACCACATGTAGGTGTTTTGCTCGATAACGTCCTCATCACCGGTACCACAGAAGAAGAACACCTCATGAATATTGAAGCAGTTTTGAAATGTCTATCGGATCGATGCTGGGTTACGACTTAAAGCATATGCATCAAAGTGCCAGTTCATGAAACCTTCGCTAGTGTGTCTGGTTCACCACAGGTGAAAGCCATTCAAGATGCTCCAGCTCCTACAAATGTCACAGAATTGAAGTCTTTCTTGGGCATGGTCAATTTTTATGGTAAATTCCTTCCGAACCGATCATTCACATTATAGCCACTGCATGAGCTTCTACGTAATTAAAGGAACACGTTGGGTGTGGCACAGCCGACAACAAGAAGCCTATGACACTGCTAAGGCCCTTCTGCAGTCATCACAAGTTCTCGTGCATTACGACCCGGAGAAGGAGTTGCTGTTATCATGCGATGCATCTCCGTACGGGGTTGGTGCGGTTTTGGCACATAAGATGAATGATGGTTCGGAGAGACCGATTGCATATGCGTCAAGGACACTTTCCAAACCTGAACGAGGGTACTCGCAATTAGATAAAGAAGCGTTGGCTATCCTATTTGCTGTAAAAAAGTTCCACCAGTTTTTGTATGGTAGACACTTCGTAGTCTACACCGACCACAAACCATTGCTTGGATTGCTAAATCCTGACAAAGCGACACCCACAATGGCATCAAGCAGAATGCAGCGTTGGGCGTTGACACTCTTAGCGTACGAGTATGAGTTGATCTACCGACCAGGCAACCAGAATGGCAATGCAGATTCTTTGAGTCGTCTACCTCTTCCAGATGTTCCTGCCTCAACATCAGTCCCTGGCGACATTATCAATTTGATGGAGCACATTAATGGTAGCCCAGTAGATGCCACAAAACTCAAATTGTGGACAGACCGTGACCCAGTCCTTTCCCAAATCAAGCATTTTGTGTTGAACGGATGGCCGACAACTGTCCAAGATACAGACCTACAACCATACTTTGCTCGAAAGGACGAACTAAGTGTTCACGCAGGATGTTTAATGTGGGGTGCACGAGTTATTGTACCACCTCAAGGGAGAGACGAGGTTATGAATATTCTCCACGATAGCCACCCAGGCATTGTGCGAATGAAGGGTATCGCTAGAAGTCATGTCTGGTGGCCTAAGATGGATCAGGCATTAGAGGAATGAATAAAGAATTGTAGCACCTGTTAAGAGCATAGGAAAATGCCAGCACCAGTACCTTTACACCCCTGGGAATGGCTCAGTCGTCCATGGACCCGAACACACATTGACACAGTCCGTTCATGGGTAAAATGTTTCTGCTCATTATCGATGCCCATTCAAAATGGTTGGATGTACATTGTGTTAACACTGCAACAACCGAAACTACCATTACAAAACTCCGAGCAACGTTTGCAACACACGGTATCCCGGAAGTAATCGTCTCTGACAATGGCATCGTGTTCACCAGCCACGAGTTTAAGACCTTCACGCAGAGAAATGGTATACGTCATATCACGCGGCACCTTACCACCCATCATCGAATGGCTTGGCGGAGCGAGCTGTACAAACGTTTAAACAAGGGATGAAGAAGTAAGTACAAGGAACTGTTGAAACAAAACTATCTCGGTTCTTATTAAGCTATCGTACCACTCCACAGACATTGGAAGATGGAACACCTCGATCAACTTTTAGCACGTGCAATGACGAATTCTGGGGTACCTCTTCTGGATCAATCTGATCTTCACGACACAGTTCCAGACGTACCTTTACAACAAGATATGAGCGGCCCAGTACTGGAGTTCGACAACGGAGGGGTTCGGCGTTATCCCACAAGAGATCGAGAACCACCCAATCGTTTTGAATGACAATCGAACGATAGAACTATTTATTGTTAGAAAATGAGTATTTAGAAACTCTTGATATTTTGGATATTAGGGGAGGAATGTTGAGTACTTTATGTACCGTTAGTGACGTAAACCGGATGTGACGTTGGATCACACCGCGTTGTTGTTCTTTACTAAGAGCTCGATTAAGAGTGAACCGTAATATACTTGTTCATGTTGTTTTAATATCGAAATATAAACTACAAAACACTACACGTACTTAAAAAAAACGGCCAAAATGTGGCGATCTGAATGGCAATAGGGAAGTCGGACTGTACTCCATTTCCTACCCGAACACGTGGTATACTCTACGTAAAGGTGATAATCATATTTTTTACAGTGATGACGGTTTTATTTTCTCAACGGCCTGTGTGGATTATGGTTACTACGAGACAGTGCGAGACCTTATCGCCGCCGTTAACAAAGCCTTGGTGAAAGAGACCGGAAACCGTAATATCACAGTATCATTTGATCCTCGAACTGCGAAAGTGAAAGTGACTATAAAACAGAGGGGATGGATATTGGCTTTAGCCACGAGGATGTCCGCCATGTTGGGGTTTCCAGGAAAAGATGTCAAAATTAAAAAAGTCCTTACGTGTCAGATTTGTTCGGTATCACGACAATCTATGTTTATTGTAATATTGTTCAACCACAGATCGTCGGAGATATGAGTTCCCATTTACTCAGAACCATTCCTGTAAATGGCAAATCTGGTGACGTCATTGCTAAAACGTTCACCAACATACAATACGTGCCTGTCCAAACGAAATCCTTTGAAGATGTGGAAATTCTTCTAAGGGATGACATCGGCTATCCAGTGCCATTTGAACGTGGGAAGGTGATAGCGACACTGTACTTCAGAAAGCAGAGTTATTTCACTTGAGAAAGATGAATAATCCACACGTACGCTATTATTTGGAACAACAACAAGGGCGTAGCATGCCTGTTTTCAGGGGGAGCCCATGGCAGGCCGGGTATGAGCAGACCGGGTACGGCTTGGGGGCCTGTTTCGTAATCTTGCAAGAAGAAGCATGCCTCTGATCAAAACTGGAGCGAAAGCGCTTGGAAAAATTGCTTTGAAAAGTGGGGCCGACTTCCTGGGGGATGTTCTCTCGGGTAAAAACGTGAAAGAAGCAGCAAAAGCGCGAGCCGTGGAGGCAGCTCATGTTGCGAAAAGAAAAGCTATAAATAAAGTGATGGGTCAAACAGGAATTGGGAAACGTGCGAAGCGCTCGGGAAGTGTAAAGTGAACAGCTAAAAAGAGAAATGCATCGGTATCTATAGCCAGACGCAGCCAGACCAAGAAACGGAAAACAGCTCAGGACATATTTGGTTGAAAACATGAATTTCTTACATTCCAAATCGCAAGAATGCACAAAAAGTGAACTCGACTTATTCTCTGTGCCCCACACAGATGAGTTTAGAGAAAGGACACTGTGTAGATCATCAACCTGTTTCAAGTGTAGCCGATGGTGGTCCCATCACGTTCTTGTCTCCAGGCACTGAAGATTACGTGGACCTCGCCAAAACGATCCTTGTGGTGAGAGCCAAAGTGACGAAAGCTGATGGCACGAATCTTGACGCAGACGAAAAGGTCGGAGTGGTGAACAATTTCCTGTACAGCCTGTTCAAACAAGTCGATGTCTTTCTGAAAGAAAAGCAAGTCACTCAGGTTATTGGAACCTATGCGTACCGTGCTTATATGGAAACCCTCTTGAATTATGGTCCCTCCGCGAAAGATTCACAGCTCACTGCTGCTTTGTATTACAAAGACACTGCAGGAAAAATGGATGTCGCAGATCCTACGGTGGCAGGTGGTAATGGCAACGCTGGTCTCAGAGCAAGATACGTTTTCAGCAAGGAAAGTGGAATTGTTGAAATGACTGGACCTGTATTCAGCGACATATTTATGTCCGAACGTCTCCTGTTGAGTTACGTACATCTGAAAGTTATTTTGAATCGAAGCAGCGACAAATTTTGTTTGATGGCCTCCGAGAACGATGCCGATTTCCGCGTGAAACTCCCCGATGCTTATCTCAAGATACGTAAAGTGAAAGTTAACCCAAGCGTTTCCGTGGCTCATGAAATAGCTCTGAAAAAGGGACCTGCCATCTATCCTATTCGCCGTGTTGAATGCAAAAGTTTTATTGTCCCCGCAGGAAACCCTTCCCTGAAAAAAGACAACCTTTTCAATGGGCTTGTGCCAAAAACATTTGTCTTTGGTATGATCGAAAGCGACGCATTCAGTGGTGCCTTAAAAAAGAACCCGTACAACTTCCAACATTTCAGCGTGTCCTCCATTGGAATAACCCGCGAACGGAGAAGAAATGCCATTTAAACCCTTGCAGCTTTCCTATGGTGCAGCATCTAAATACATCGAAGCATTCACCACACTGTTCTCTGGTACGGGAAAAATGTATCACAACACAGAGGAAACGATATATCCCGAGAAGAATTTCCCAAACGTTTGATTTAACACCGGATATGTGTGGAGCCTCTCCTCATTTTAACGTGGTGCAAAAGGGAAATCTGGCCATTGATATTCAGTTCTCTGGCGCGCCTGCAGCCGCAGTGAGTCTCGTATGTTACGGAGAGTTCGAGAATACCATTCACATCGATTCCGAAAGAAACGTTGTCTACGATTACTCTGGATGAACACTGCCCAGATAACCCATGCCTTGGAACAAGATCCTGTAACAAGCAAGAAGTTTTGCGGCGTGTTCCCTAGTGACAAGCTGCCTCGGACGATTGTAACATCCGGGAGTTAGCACTTCCGGCGGGAAAAAACAGGCACCTCGAGGAGAACTAGACAGCTGTATTAACAAGGGAGTTTTACTTAGCATAGTTGGGTTTTAAGGTTAAAATACTACAACGATCGACCGATATCCGTGTGGATTCGTTGCGAACACTGATCCAAGCAGTGAACCTGGAACGCATTGGGTCGCCTTTTATTTCCCATCGGAAGAGAAAGGAGAATTCTTTGACAGTTACGGACATGCCCCAGAGTACTACAGGAAATTGTTTGGGGACTTTTTAAAGTCTCACGCATGGGATTTTAATAGACGTAAATTGCAAAGTGCTTGGTCGGACGTATGTGGCCAGTATTGCATATTTTACCTTAGCCATAGAGCAAGAGGTCTGAGCATGAGTAAGATCGCACATTTATTTAACAATGATACGGGACTCTAATGATATAAAAGTATCACAGTTTGTTAAGAGTCATTTTCAGGTATTGTTAAAACATTCCAATGTTAACCTTAATCAGTTTAGTAAAAAGCTGTTTTAAATAAAATTGTTGTAAAAACTATAGTGTGTGTTTTAAATCTGCGCATGCGCACAAATTCGCGTCCCGCATGCGAACCGCACATAATCAAACAAAATTGGTTTTGAAACATTTTTATTAATACATGCAAACAGTTACAACATTTTAATAATTAACCCAATGTTTGGATTTCACCGTCTGCCTTCTTATAAAGTTACGGTAATATTCCGCGGGACTTACACGCGGTGATACTGACAGTGGTTGTCCCGTGGGTGTCTTGAAAAAGTTGGCTCGACCTCCTTCCATAGTTGGCTCGACCTCCTTCCGACCTCCTTGCAATCCTTGACTGGAGAGAAGATTCAAATGATAATAAACTTTGATCACGAATGCATGGTTCGAAACGAGAACCACAAGATCTGCTTCCCAATTGTGGGAGCATGCGGAAGAACAATTACTCTCCCAGTTGCACACATGAGAGAGAGTGAACATTTTAAACACGTTTTCATGCTAGGATACTGCAAAGGACAAGCGGCTGCTAACAGATAAACTGTGTTTAAATTAACCAGGGATAGTTATAGGATCAGTAACAATTAAGACTTATTACCGATTTTGACTACTGGTTACCGCCCTTACTGATTTGAACCGTCGAAAAACTGATCGTTGGATTTGATATTTCTTTACTGTATATTAAATATGCAAAGAATACGTACAATTTTTTGGAAGTGTCAAAATTACCTGAAAGATTACATACAGCTATATTTTGGGACCCATTCAAATCACTAATCCAGTAATTGGTAAGTGTGAACAATAAACTTTGTCTCCTTGGTTTCCAGATCTGGCAATACATAATTTCTTTCTTTTGGGCCATTTCGTATTGTGACATAAAATTGTGCAAATTAATCATTCAATCAATAAATTTAAGTCAGCCATTCAAAGTTCACAACGCTGCTATCAGTACAGCATGCCGAAGTGGGCCTTATGCAGGTTTCCGTCCAATTTCCTGGAATTTCAGTTACAATATTGGAAATTTTATATATTGTTTATATCGTTATTAAGAGTGTTCACCAAAAATTTTGAATCAATAGGATTAGTTCCTCCTGAGTTAATTATTCTTGAAAAATAAAAGTGATGACGTCGTCATTATTTTCGAACGCCTTCAGAAACTGTGTTATATACAAAATTTAGTTAAAAATTCTTGGTTAATAAGGTTAAGACGGGACTTCATATCTGATATAAACAAGAATTTGAACATTTTGGCTCAAACTCTGCCTTTATTTTAGCATTTGATTTTTGGATAAGCGCTTGGTGGTATAAAATTGGCCATTTCATACCACCAAGCATTAGACAAGGAAGTACGATACCGTAAACAAGTAAGTAGGACACCGTGTTAATCGTTCTGTTGCATTTCGCTAACTTTTGACACTTCCAAAACATTTGGATTGTTCGTATCTTAATGAAACGAAGGTTATCATATTATAATATTGCAGGCGTTGCTCGTTATGTTACGGTTTTTGAGTACTAGGTAATCTGATGAAGTGTGACATCGTTTGCATGTTTCATATTAAAGTTTATGGTTGATATGAGAACTAGTTAATTTTATGTTTATGGTCATCTTTTTGTGTTAAGTTATCAATCATATGGTATGTTAGTTGAGTTGATATTAAACTCTTACCAGGTTATCAATTTTTAATATAATTGGATTGACATTCAAATGAGGTAAAACATGATTTAGTTGAATATTATTTAATATATGTGCAGATTCAGAGAAAAGACAAATAAAAAAAGCCAATGGACCAACCCAATTCATTTTTATTACTGTATTAGATTAGATACGACGGTTCTATGTTATCTAATACAGTAATAAAATTGGGAAGAATGATTGGTGGCGATTGCCTTTTAATATATTTTCCAGCTAAAAGTGTAGTCACTAAAATTGGAACAGAGGGAACCATTTAACGAAATTGTTTTGTTTACACATAGTATAAAGCATTACAATTATAGAACAATTTATATAAGTACTATTTAAAATACCAGCGGGGGAATGCTTTATCAGATATAAAGTTCGAGGCGACAGCAGAGAGTTTTATATCTGGTAAAGTACGACTGACTGCGAGTGATGAGGTAACAACGAGTAGTCACATCTAAATCTGAACAAAGATGACCAACCAATTTATTAATGCTTGCCACTTGCCATTTATGAGTTTCTACCATTGGCATTGACGTAAATACACCTGGAAAGCTCAGCCTAGTTCCTGGCCTTCTCGCTTCCGTCTCATTATTTTAGGGGGAAACCAGTTCGGATATTTTACGAAACAGACAGCCCGCAAGTTCATGATAGCCTGTAATTCGCCCGCGCTTGGAAGGCCAGGGACTAGAGTGTGGAAAGCTATCATCATTCAAACTAAACGCCCTATCATCGATCGAAACCAAGACAAAACATGCGTATTTATGAATTTCAAGCCGAGTATTTGTATGGATGGCCCTGTTATTTTTAGGTAAAAAGATTGGAGCTGACCTTCAAACTTTGGGTTCGAATATCCCACCAAAATTAGCATTTCAGTTTGATTTAGTTCGATGACTTCTACCAAATATATATTTGTGTAAGCCTAGTTCCTTGGCTTTTTAGCTTTCGCATTACTAAGGTGTGTAAGATTTTGGCTAACCTAATATGGGTAGCCTTCAATTATCCCAGCTTACAACTAGTCTGCTTGTGAACGGTAGTAACTGAGCTATATACTGTACGTGTATAACCGGATATTTCTTACCGGCTATATGGCATGTGTATTTGAACATGTTTATATGAGTAATTGTTTACAACAGTCTTTAATTCTCATATAATCTCTCAGATGGTATTAGATAGCCTATGTCTAGGAGCAATTGTTTGAAAATGATGTCGTTCAATCAGTGGATCCCGTTATATGCACATTGCTTGAGAACATTGTAAAGTTCAAGAGCCTCTCTCCAATTGGTTGGTTTGTTATGATTACTAGCTTGCAAAGCATAATTGAAATAATCTTGGTGAATGTTGTCATCCTGCAAATCGATAACATGTGCACGAGCATAATGAACTTCAGCCTCGGGAATTGGCATAATAAAATGGTTGCCGCCACCATGACAGTGGGGCAGGTAATACAATGAATCTGGCCGGCCACTTACGGTATCATGACGTGACTTACGTATATAATGCGTATTCCAGTGTTCTTTTATTTCGTTCAAGACCTTCTGGATTAATTCTGCAAAACAAAACCATAGACATTCCATGTCCAACTCTGAGGCAAGATCAATGGTTCTTTGTGCTACCAAGTCTTTAAAGAAGTTGATCCACCATGTCGTGCAAGACTTTCGCAAGAGACCCCACCATGCCTCAATTCGTTGATTACGGGGCGATGGTACGTATCGATGGCTGTTGGGATCGTCTCTGAAGAAAGCTTGAATAGCTGCCATTGTTCCATTTTCAGTGCCCAGGTCTGTGACCAGATCAACAGGGCACCCACCAAACTCTTCAACAGCATCAAGATAAAATTTTGCAATATTATCAGGTTGGTTGTTTGATCTGGTAACATATAACCACAATACCTTCCTGCTCCATCCGTCAACACAGCCATGGATTGGAAATCCGTAGGGTTTTAATTTGTCATAGCCATCGCAGTGCCACGCGTAATTTGGCCCAGGATTGTGGTATACCCTCCTTTTAAGGCGATGAGCTCTTCTCATTTCAGTTGCTTCTGGATCAATTTCTTTAAGAATTTCTTGTACAACAATACGAGGAACACGTAACCCTTTTAGCTGCAATGTGTGCCATACTGCCCTGTAGCCTTGCGTACTGCCATAACCATCAACAATATCCTCTATAGCTGCTCTTATTTCATTAACATCATAGTCTGGCTCTCGCCTTCGGAGACCATAGGCTTTTATACGCCGTTTCAGCGTTGTAATGCTTATTTCAAGACCATGATTTCTCTGCAAGAACATTCGAATTTCTTCGTATGTAAAGCCTTTAAAAAAATAGTATCGAACAATATCTTCTTCGTCAACTTGATCATCTTCTTCGCCTAAATCCGGAAAATTGTCCGCCA